AACAACACATGGCTCTGAATAATGTCAGTCAAACAGATTATCCGTCCTTGCTGAATTCTGATTGGTTGAGACGATCTGCTCAGATGTGTCATAAGGTCAAAGTGAGTCAGAGGTTTGCTATATAAGCCTCGCTCGATTTAAATACAACAGACATAATTGTAAAGCGAGGATTGTGTAGTGTACGTGTTACATTGACAATATGAAAATGGTCCTAGGAATGCAGTCCTGTGCATGTAAGGGCATTCCTATTAAACGAAAGGACGAGGGACTAGAAGTGAAATCAGGGAATTTATTGTTGATCCAGTCACATCAGGGTAGATCAGTGAGGGTGCCGGTTCATGTTAGAGTGTACCAGAGCTGCTTTGAACATTACGCAATCGTCAACAGAGACTGCAAATTTACGAACAAAGGCATTTTTGTGAACCTGAAGAATTCCACAGTGATACGGACTGAGACACGGGAGTCTGAATTCCTCATGGTGCCGGATAACGTGGAGGGGACCGGATACACATTTCAGGCGCGAAACGCCACAGAGGCCGAGGACTGGACCGAGGTGTTACGGGCTAGTGTTTCCCAGGGTTCCCCCACATCCGCTCACCCCGCCCCGAGTCTGTCCCCCGTCATCCCCCGAATGCCACTGATGCCCACTCTCGCAGAGGAAGAGGAGAGCTGACCTCGCGTGACCTCTTTGAGTGAACTCGGTCAGTGAGACGTTTGTTGACTTGACTTCTGCAGATTGTGGTTATCAACATGTTTACAGACTGCAGTGTGAAGCCGTCATCGGGTGACAGTGAGGTGTCTACAGACATTGACACCCTGACTTGTTTACGTGGATTACATGGCGGGAAGTATTGTAATCCTCTTATCCTGTATAACTGTTGTTGAGGCGCGTAAAATCTCCGTCAGACAGAGGCACGATGCCAGCACGTGCAGGATTCCAGTTTTATCTGGTCCCTTGGGTCCGGATTATAACAAATTCCAAAGACAAAAGCTAAAGCTGTGATATTGACTCTAATTTAAATATTTTTATTGTTACGTAGTGTGATTTTGTGCAATACTTGTTTTTATGTTAACATGAGTGTGCAATACTTGTTCAATAAAATCAGAAAATATGTTTATTTTCTCTCATTTCATTATCAATTGTACTGATTATTTTTACTGACATATATTTTTATTAGGTGTAGAAGAACACCTACGCTCTTTGGTGACTTTAGTCATACCCGTTAGATGTAATAAAGATCTATATCATTCACCATCGCCGGGAGAATGGACAAGGTTACACTAATTACCGTAATGTTTGGTATTATCCGATGTATGATTAGTCTGGTGTTATTTATCTATATTGATGGAATTGGATTCTATCTATGGAATAGTCATTTAATAATGGGTCGATTTATAAATTCCGTCCATTCCTTGCACACATAGAATATGTAGGGAGCGTCTAACAATAGATAATGAACAGAAGATCGATATTTAACTAATCTATTATAAGTGAATAGAGAATCCAATGTCAACGCAGTACGAATGTTACTTATATCTGATGCGTACAAGGCGAACCTACCAATTTATATGAGTGTCCTTGAACTAACATGCACGAAACAGCAGTGTCTAAACAGGAACTACTTTACATTACATGAATGTGTGACTAAGATCCTATTCCTTATACGGAGAAAATTGTCCCGCTCTGCAGATAAGCCATTTCTATAATTACTACTGAACTCATCTGAATTTGAACATAATAGTCATGGAATTTCGTTTCATACTGGTATTTAAAAAGTTCTTAATAGTTAACGTATTTCTTTCAAGGCAGGGATAATTCACAGATCCGGCTCAATTGGATGGAATGGAGAAGCAGCTATTCTTATAACTCTATCTCAGAGAAAGTAATGTATTGGTATTTTCCTCTACAATAATTTGAATTTTTCTATTTTTATATATGACAATGTCATCTATAAATTTGATTGAAGAATTTATGTATGACAATGTCATATATAAATTTTAATGGAAAAATTCAAATTTTTGTCTATACAGTGCTCCTAAATCCTTGATGGCTACATGTACATCTAATTCTTGTACATGCTTTGATTATGACTGCAATTGAAAACAGAATTATTGATGCAGATATATAGGTCGCTGAGATGTTATACTAGTACACATACACTTTATTCATTGGGGAAAACTGTAGTTCTATGGGTGTCCACCCATTTTTATCAGACCAGCGAGCTACAGACCTGCAGCCAGAAAAAAGTAGCTTTTTCTGTGTCTTCTAGGGACATCTAGAACCGCATTCTTCACCACTTCACGGTGAAAGCCAAAACAGATGTGATCTTTGTTTTTGCACTTCGTTAACAAGACTAGAGTACTTATTACAAGAAAAATGTCAAACTTTTAATCTGCTTCCTCCAGAAACGTCAAGCTTATGAACATTACTCATATATACTTCATATGCTTCATTAAAACTGGGTTTATAGATCAAAGCTGGCCGAGTTTTTACCTCCGTACAACTTCTGCAGCAGACGTCGTAACCTTGACGTGACTCAGAACAGATGAAGATCCCAGTTACGCGCCAAAACAGACCCGCGCCAACGAAATCTTCGTCTGCTTCTCTCAATACATAAGGATCGGTATAAATTCTGAATAATTTGATATGGTGTAAAATTATATTTAAATCTGTATAGCGGCCAAGTCTGTCTGCACAATGCAGCTTTTCAAGATTTTTTAAGTGCGTGGTTGAAATGATAAATACCATGTCTATAAACTGGCATATATTCTGAAATATCTCGTTCAAAAATTCTTTAAAAAAATAACTTCATAATTAATGAAATTTAATCTGTGGAATTCGGTTAGAATGAGTTTTTTTTCAGTTGAGCAGAATATATTCTTCATGTATAATCAAAAGTAAACAGGACCTCGGCAATTGACTGCACGGATCTGTCGTTGTTACTGACAGGAAAAGGACTCTCTCTCCGTGAAGTGTGTTTGTTATCACAGAGGTTCCATTTTACATTACATGTACTGAGAGTATAAAATCTCCGATCCTGTTTCCCTGCCGAGAGCACGTTGCTTTACTGGGTCCCGTGAACTCTAACACATCAAAACAATGTTTTTGTAAGCGAAAGGTTGTTTTATATGATAAGTTGTTGTTGATATCTGTTTCATCGGTCTTTGGGTGCACATGTATCGGGGAACTGTGTCCTGTACAACTTTTCCTGTTTAGTTTGTCGAATCGTGATTAAACCATCAAAAATGTTTTATCTGCTAAGAGGAAAGATTTACAATTATTTTATAAATGCGTCATCATTTCTCTACAAAATAACCTGCACCAAAATATACACGAAAATAAAATTATCAAGATGAAGACATTCTTCCTGAAGGTTTCATCATGCGACTGTGTTAACCCTGAGATTCTCTAAAACTTAACATTGACCACACAAGCAGTACTATAAATGCCGGCTTCGAGTGTTATATATACATGTACATGTATTATGTTTTGGTCTATCTTTTTGAAGGACAATTTTAAAATCTTAAGATTAAGTATTCTATAATGCATATGCTACTTACAATATCAAGAGACAGTCTGTTAGTTATTTATTCTAAGGACTCACAGCGCAAACCGGAGCATTCCCTCGCAAAGAGCATATGTATCTATAATTTGACATTGATTCCGATACATATTGTGTCACCCCTGTTTCGCACAAGGACGAACTAACACACACATCCTCTCTCTCTCTCGCACACACAAACAAGCGCAACTACCATAGCCCCCTCTCTCTCTCTCAAATAACCAATCCACGTTAAAAACAAATTAGTTTCCTTAACTTATGCTGTTTTGCTAGTTTTCTCACTTTAACAACCAGTTTATAGCCAAACACAAGAAGGAAAACACGCCAGAATGAAGACAATACGTTTGTTTAACGTGAAACAAGCCGTGAGTCGCGACGGTCCGTCTGTAGGTATGTCACAAATTTACCTGGCATTTTGACCGTAGACAAGTCATCGTATCCAATCACAACACCACGGATTTTCCCCCCATTTCTTTAAAATGTCCCCAATGTATAATGCGTTTTATCAACCCCTATGAATGCTACAAATAAAGTGTCATGTAATGTCATCCGAGATTTTAGAATTAAACTCATTGTCATCATTTTTAAAAAGAAACATAGGTGTCACATAAATTAAATCTGTTCTGGACATATATTAAACGAACTGGCGTCGGCGATAACTATGCACTGGTCGTTTGTCAGGTAAGACAAGGTTTGGTTGCAAAGCAGAAATCCACGTGTCAGACTCAAACCGCTTATCACCTATCAACAGTTTGTAAATTAAAATTTATCTATTAAGTACACTTTATAATATATCTTATCTATAAATCTGGCTTCTACATAACACAATGCGGCACATGAACTCTCCCTGAAGATTTGTATTCTGTACATTTTCCGATAGTCAAAAAGTACCTACTTAAGCTTTATTTTGTCGGGGAGAGAGTGTTTATGGGGTTTGGGGATTAAAGAAGACAATATCTTTCCTGGAAGCTGTGTTTGCAGCTTATAAAACGTTCGATTTTTTCGGGATACTGTGATTACATTAATGTTATATACATCTAAATTTAACACAAAATCGGATGAACAATACAGACTTCTGTATAATTAGCAAGGATAAGCGCCTTTCAAACATTGCACTTAATTAAAAACTTACTGACCAGTGTATGGTCGGTGACCGCCAGAGCTTACCACAGAGAAAGAGAATACATGCTAAAGTTGTACCGGTGACGTATCCAGAGCTTACTACAGAGAAAGAAAATAATATCTTAACCTTCTTAAGGTTCTACCGGTGACGTAGTTTTTTTTATTCCAGGGGTATATATTATATTTCTATATATTATATTAGGATACATTTATTTAATTATAGCATTATTAGGCATGGAATATTGATTAAGGAGTGTTGACGGTCTTTAATGACAGATAACTAAAACATTAATAAATAACCTTTAACTGAAATTCTCCATTTTCACCAATATTTTGTCTGATTTTGACTCCATAGGCGAATGTTTTGTAAAAACTAAAAGTTGCTTTAATTAATTACATTTTTCTGTAAGTGAGTGTTTATGATTTACGAAGAAAATCTTATATTAGTGTCCTGAAGGTCGTTTTCCCTAAAGCTCTGAACATTGTGATACAAAGCAATTTTAACTAGTGCTAATTGTAACGGGGACCGTTACAGATGTTCCCCAAACGCCCCCCATGTCCCTTATTGTGCCTTATTCCTCTAAGACCTTTTATAAATATGCTAAGTATCCCAAGATTTCATTTAAGAATATAAAAGTTACAATGATATCAACTATCAACGATATATTGTTTAACGTTTTGCATGCGCGCACACGTACATGTACATGCATATGCAAGATGATTATGGCATATCTTTCTATCCCGCGAATCAAAGAAAAAAATACATATATAAATTTACCATTTTTCAAGCATATGTCATATTTTTAATATATCGATTCACATTTTATTTCTCTACTTATTTTAACATCGGGCTCAAAGTTGGTTTTATTCCAACGACAAGACAGGGTTAAAGTCGACTAAGGGTATCACGCCAATACCTAACCAATCAAAATGAACTTATTCAATAGTAGTTCCATACATGGAAAAGGGATTTTCCTTTCTGTTCAGAATTTTTTTAATATTTCCTCTCAGGCCATTTTGACAACTCTGATACCTGTGCCTGGTAAATTTTATATACTTTGTAAATAAATATATAAAGGTTTTTTGACCGGAACTATTCACTTTTTAGAATGCATAGGGGCTACTCTCTGGGTTTTACAAGAGATGTTTAAAAAGACATTCGTGTCAGCTAATGTGACCTATATTGTTTAACACCTTCTTATTAATATTTTTTTCATGAATGCAAATATCTGATTATTTTACGAAGGAGCGTACATGTATATTGATTTTTTAATATACCGAAAATCGCTATTTCTGGGGATTGCGTAATTCTAAAAAAAAATTCAAATAAATTTCAAAGGTAAATTAAACAAAGGATGCTTGGTATTAAAATATTATTTCAAAATCAGTAGAATCGAATGCTATTAACGACATCTGAATAAATAGGCTATA